GCAACATAGCTTTGTGCGTCTCTTTCGGACGAAATCTGATCCCCCGGAATGCCCTCACCATTCCATCTACAGATATGCTATAGCCTTTCATTATGGCATGCTTTAAAGCATCATAATCACTGCATTGTTGGGAACCCAAACCCTGGTATATCTCCAGCACACGGCCTTTCAACAACGACGCTACTGCGGTGGCCCAATATGATTTACTCCAATTTCCTTCAGTAGCCCTTCATTCAAATCGATCAATGTATGCATCCATTGAATTAACTTTTCCGTCAAATGCCACTAAGTCTGACATCTTGATCTTCAGAGACTGTGCCACTGGGCTAGGTTCAGTGGGTTGGGCTTGACTTCCCTTTCCAGTTTGTTCAACCTTTCGTGACGGGTGTTCCACATGTCCGTCACGAATTTGGTCTTCACTTCACCTTGGAGATCTAGAGCTATAGCTTGCTCTCTCAGTGAATCCCGCCTGGGGTTGTACAGTCCCCATTATGGCCGGCGATTCCTGCATCTATCTAACTCCAGGTGCAACATATATTTCGTCTAAGGATCCAATACAGGCTCTAGTCTGAGGGTGCAACCTCCCACTAAGATCCTGGGGTGTACTTACCCGTACCTTCCCTGACACTTCGACTATACTAATGCCAGAACACTTTCGCGCATCCGTTACTCCTGGAGGAGTAACCAACTTTTCTCTGAAATGCGCGTAACAGACTCGCCCACAAGTCACGAGAAAGATTATTTGTATAAAATCCATTTTCTCTCCGATCGACTTTGGGATAGTTTACAAATGTTTGCCATGAAATTTCCGTTTTCTCTAACAGCTGTATAGCCTATTTGGGAGAACGGCATGACATTGCATCATCGTGGTAAGACCATTGTATTGTTGACACGACGAGTGTAATCGAAGTAGTTTTTTTATTTGATGCCGGTCTAACGCATCCTTGTGTGACATTTTATACTTATGTTCTTCTAGAACATTCTATTGCGAACACATTAGTACAAAAATGAAATACGTACATCGAAAATTAATGTCAGGACAGTGAAAAGAATAAACACTTTTCAATAGGAGTTTCGCCACGGGTAACACTTCGGCCACTTCCCACACTCTTGTGGGTGGGCTGCGACATTGATTCTATATTTATATGCATATGTCCGCGTAGGGAATTTTATTGCGATCTCAGTGATACCAAAATTAATGCAGTAGGACAAGTGTGGAGTTGACAACCCTGAAGAGAGTAGAAACATTTCGTTGCTGTTTGGAGTTCACGGCTAGTGATCGACGTAGTTCTTTATTTGGTGCTGGTCTAACTCATGTTTTGGTGACATTTTGGTGACAATGAACCATTAATTTGCAGTCCCACTGATGGTTAAGTAATTTAGAGCAAATTACTTTCACTACTATAGTCGCCCTCCCAACAATTCCCTCACTACTATGTGAACTCACTATGCACTGATATCAATTACACAAATTAGCAAGAGGTGATCAACTAACTGTCCCACGGACAGGTAATTGCACCCACATATTACGTTACTCTCAACACTGGTTTCCACAACACAGCAGTACACTCATTAAGCAATGTGCTTCCCCGGGATGACATTATTGACCTCTTAAGTTCTCACTGAATCCTTCACAAGACCACAACGTCAAACATCCAAAGATTTTGTCATACAGATAACAACACGGTATACTTTTGCAGCCTGCTGCAAATGAATAACACGCTCCCACAGTGAAATATTAATACTGAGATCACCGCCCAAACACACAACACAGAACTGTTTATAATACACTGGCCAAGATATAATATAACCACTACTGGGAAATCTCCTGGTATGCACTTCACTGCCAGAACTTGTTACTTTGAAAAGATATCGCATAAGTGGCACATATGGACATAGAGCATGAAAGAATAAAACACACTTTTCTTAACCCTTGGAGATAGAGTAATTATCCGTCACAACGCCACACAACTAAATGTGTATCCCATGTACTTGTACACACGTCCTCGCTCACAGTTGGGCCCTCTCCTCAACTTGATTGATGTTAATCCAGATGTAACTCGTGCATCTACAATTACAATCACATCACAGGTGTTAATGGACAATGTCAAGATGGGACACTGGTATTGAAGTCAATTTCTGAGTCTAATACACCAAAACAAAATAAGGATACTCCCTCTTTCACCGACCGGTCTCACTCACACATCTCTTCCACACACCCCAACCCCACTGAAGCTGAAGTAGGCTGAAGTGGAAGTTCACCCACGTCCTTCATGCAGTCAGACAGGACCACAGGTGACTGGCCCGGTGTTAAGACATTAGACACAAGATGGTGGGATGTACACCGGGGCCTTGCCCAGGGCTTGGCATGGCGGCATGAGACAACAAAGCACGGAAACCCTTCACCGTTAGTGTTGGTACGTACACGCCCTCTGCATGGTGCAGTACGCCTCTGCACAACACGGCTTGGAAAAATTTGAGTCCCCCTTTGTTTAACTTGTAATTCCCTGGAATTATGAATTCTAGGTTTCCTTCAAACACTGGAAGCCTTCCTGAGTTCGTCTCTATCAAGTACCTTCTGACAAAGGCATGGATCATGAACCCTGTCACCACAACTCGCAGAAATAAAACCCCACAGTCCATTTCCTCTGTATCGCGTTCTGACATTCACGCGGTAGATAACCATCACTTATAAAGTTCACTTCTATTTAATTCGACGATACCCCTCCTCACGATAACGGATTCTTACTTCAGTGGTCCCAGGACGATGGCACAACGATAGCGAGTTACTTAGGTGTCTTTGCAAGCAATATTTCCGGTGCTTGGCTGAGCAAAGTAAATTACAGCCTCTCCACACAAAGACACAGCAAGAATGGTTTTGGCGCCAAGCAAGGACCCGCATCAGCCGGAACTCCTCAGCTCAATTTTACCATTCACAAACAAGCATCTCAAGAGGCCTGGTCCCTCGATGAATTACGACTCTTCCTTGAGGTGTCGCCATGCTTCTATGTCAAGGCATGAAGGAGGCTGATGGTGGGAGACCGGTCAACGACTGTTGACCTTCCTAACACCCCTCCCCCCTCTCAGTCAACACTTTCTTCACAAACTCACATGAAGTAAATTCATGGCAATAACTTCCATTACAGACATGCCACGGCGACCACTGTAGCTTTGTTGAAACGTTCTTGTCAAGGACTGTCCATAAACACCCATCATGATTGTGTAGGTCGAGTACTACTGAAACGTGTGCCCCATGCACACTCTGTCCATGGGACACAGTCTCTCCTGTCATGTTGTGCACCCACTCAGTAGTGCACAAGGTAGCTGGAAATCCATCACCTGACACAGTGATTGGTTGTCATTCAGTGTACTAATGTAGAGTGTTACGACCACTATGGATCAGTAACCGTATTCTTGATGTTGTAACCTCTATTATAGTATCCGACCCCAAGTCGGTAGTACACTTTCAAGAATTGGCTATATAGTGCCATAAGGGAAAGGGGGGATGAACAATACACACAGTTCCCTTCACCAATATATTTACCCTCGCCGTCAAAATATATTGAAATAGAATATTTCTACACTTATTTACAGTGGTGTCACTTCCACACAGGACACCAAAAGCACACACATGCATTGTTCACCAACCCGTGTTTCCACCACCCAGTACCTAGTCCACTCATACTGGGAAACACAGGCGAGTTCACCTTTTACGTGGGGCAGCTCACTGACACAGTATCACGAGGTGCCTATACCCCACTATCTCTCTCCAGCCACTCGCTGGCAGAGGACCTCAGCCACACACTGATCGGGGCCACAAAACAACCATATACAGGGGTAGCGAACTCCTGGCAGAAGTCTCTAGCAACTGGCTAGCAGCATTTCACACCCTGCACCTCACTGTCGTCCGTTACTCTCCTAAGCCAATCCCGGGATACGCCGATCACTTCCAACATTACATAAATCAGCAGCTAACACACTGCTCCGATCAGCGGCAGCTTACTTAGTCGTCTTCCAGGATCAAGCTGCGAGTAAGTGGACTGTACAAGGTACGGATCCTAAGTACGACTACTGCCACACATCACCTCTGTGGACATAAAACGTCATCAGTTAAATGGACGGTACACTGGGGAAACCATGAGGTAACACTCATTCACTGGGGAGTTGAAATTATGCTCTGTAGCACAACCTAGGTGGCGCTGATCTTTTTTTTTGAGATATATACAAGAGTTGTTACATTCTTGTACAGCCACTAGTACGCGTAGCGTTTCGGGCAAGTCCTTAATCCTATGGTCCCTGGAATACGATCCCCTGCCGCGAAGAATCGTTTTTTCATCCAAGTACACATTTTACTGTTGCGTTAAACAGAGGCTACAGTTAAGGAATTGCGCCCATTAAATCCTCCCCGGCCAGGATACGAACCCATGACATAGCGCTCGCGGAACGCCAGGCTACCACTACGTCTTACCACTACACCACGGAGACTGCACCACTACACCACGGAGACTGGCGGATCTTGATCCGCCACCTCACCAGAGGTCATCCACGTCGACCGCACATTCTGATGAAGGCAGGAAACCAGAGCCATTTGTCGCTGTCATGCCAACAAAAATAGATGGCGTTGTCCACGTAGCTTCCAATATCAGGGGGAGTTGGAGTGCAGACCCATAGATGGCGCTGGAATACCGTAACTGGCGATACCGTAACATGGAGGGTAACCAGAGTGAATGGTGGTCTTTCAGCGTCCTAATGTGGTTGGTAAATAGAGTGAATGATTGTCTTCCAGTGTACTAATGTATAGGGTAACCAGAGTAAATGATTGTCTTTCATTGTACTAATTTGGAGAGTAACCTAAGTGCATTACCATAAATACTTGTATTCAGTGTACTAATTAAAATTAAAATTAGTACCTCGTACTAATTTGAAGGGTAACCATAGTGAGTTGTTGTCTTCTATTGTATTAATGTGCAGGGTAACTGGAATGAATGGTTGTCTTTCAGTGTGCGGAAGCGAGTGCCCTGGAGGGTGTGTTGGAGAGCAGTGTTGTCACGAGGAGTGCCTAGGCGGCTGCCTCTCCCCCGGGGACCCCACAACTTGCCATGCCTGCAGGAACCTCCTGGAGCAGGGACGCTGCACCCACACGTGTTCCAGCCCCAAGTTTAAGGTCTGTGTCTGATAAATGCCATGTTTTAATTTAGTCTTTTTAGTTTGCAAGTATTCTTGGTGGATCGTATTATTGCACGTTGTGTGTGTGTAAAAATGTCATAGCACGTATCAATGAAAAGTGACATTTTCACGATAACCTCTACTGGGAGAGTATATGATATTGTGTCCAGGTTTGGTGACCTGGACACAATATCATATAATTTGTATTGTTTCACTAGTAATTTTAATTTAATATAATTTTATTTTAATTCTATATATGTAATTTATTTGGCTCGGTTTTTATTCCATGCTTACTAAATTTCAGATTTTGACATTGATGTTCATCGTCTATTTTTTCATCATTGCAAACTAATTTTTAATTCTGCTAATAGTTTCTTATTTTATTAAATTCATCCTTATTTATCACAATAGTATCTATTTTTTTTTTGCAAACATGTGCATTTAATTCATAAATTGTATTTCTGGTACTCCTAATATTTGTGTAAATATATATTTAATGTTGTTTACGCTCGAGTATTATTCCCAAAAATATATAATTATTTAATTTTGGCTCAAAAATTGTACATTTACTCTCCCATCTCGATAGTAATATTTACAATTGCCTCCCTGCCCATAAAAACCCAGACCACTCTCATCTACCCGTTTAAACCGGGAGAAATGGCTCCCTATTCTGGTCGGCTAGGGCTGCCACCCCAAATTTTAGAATATGCCTCCTCCCTCCCTCCCTCCCTCCCGCCTATTCCCGTGTATAGTCATATATGCCGTACAAGTGAATCCAGTTCCCAATTAAAGACATCATATTGGTCTTGCAATATAAATTCAGCCGGAAATCGATACCAGTTTCCCTGGATATCCATTAATTTCAAACTTATCTCTTGGACATAATTCGGTCTATGACGAATATAATAACAGTTATTTGTTATTTTTGCATATTTCTACTTCATTCCCGACTTGTATTAGGATCGTTTAGATAATCTCTAAAGATATAAATAAGGTTAAATTAAGTTTGATTAGGTTAATTAAAATAAAATAAATATACATATAAGATGTAGCAACATTATTAATAGACTTAGCTAGACTAGGATAGAGTAGACTAGGTAAGGTAAGGTTAGGATAGATTAGGAACAGAGACGTTTAGTGTTTTTTTTAGACATTATGATAGGAGTTGGGGCCCAAGAACTAAACTACAACAGCGAACCTCAGCCTTTGGGTCATTGGGTGGAAACTGAACAATGATTGCTGAAACATCAAACAGGGAATAATGATTATAGGAATACCCATGAAATACTCTAGCTATTACTTGTCTCAAGTTCGAGTGTGTGTGTGTGTGTTTAACGTGTCGTCCTTGCAGCTAATCATCACTTCAAGTTTTCGACGAATAAGACTTGTGCCACGACTTTTACTCGGACGCTTGCCGTTCTTCGCCTCCATTGTCACTCTATGGCAGTACCCTTCTGTACAAAGATTCTGTTAATCTTTTGGGGTGGATTTTTTACACTCGTTGCTCTTGGTCACGTCATATCTCTCACCTCCGAGTTGAATGCTCTATGGCCCAAAACTTACTTAAAATTTCGTTCAGTACTACCTTGGGAGTCGATAGACGCTCACTCCTCTAGTTGCACAGGTTTTTGTGCTGTCTTAAACTCGATTATGGATGTCCTGCCTGTTCTTCTGTCATTCGTCCCTTCGTCGTCTTGATGATCTATACTGTATACAAGCAAGTCTGGTGTCTTTCGTTACTCGTCTATCCTTGAATTTTGACATCAGCATCTTGTTTCTACAGGATCGTCGTGATCGTTACTTCTTTGCTACCCTGTTGCACGGTCCCTGCAACATCCCCACTCCTGCCTGTGCCGTCCTCTGTCCACTGCCACTCTGGAGGGATCTCTTTCTGCTCAGTTTCTTCATTTTTCTGCAAGGGGTGGCTCGTATGCAAAGATTCTCTCTCGGTCCACATTTGCAATGTCTCCCCCTCGTGATATTCTAACCTTGTTCCCATGGAGAGTTCCTCCTTGTAAAATGTTGTAAGGCCCTAACCCACATGATGAACGCTTCTACTCCTCCAACTGCTATGAACAGCCTTTTCCTTGAACTTTTTCCTTTCACATAACAAAGCTTTGTTCACAAATGGGTATATGTCTGCCGGCGATGTTGGCTACCCCGTTGTTTACCATGTAAAACCAGAACGTTCCGCTTGCCCTGTGGGGAATTTCCTAGCAGGTAGATTCATTAAATGTAATTGATGATATCGATTGGACTGTATTAGGAGAAAATGGACTGTATTAAAATTCTTGACTTCTGCTTGGTGTTACCCTTTACACATATCCTCAGGGGCTATTCAGTTGTAGCCTATCTATCGATAATTCTCGATTGATAGAAAAAAATTAATAATGGTTAGTTAACTAAACTACTGGTATTAGTTTAAATACTCAATGGCCTTATCTGTCTAGAAGGCTTCAACGTGAGTACAAATGGACATCGGGATAATCAGTCAGGTATGAAGCTCGTGGCCTTTGGCGGCTGTCCCACGTGTGGTAACAAGTAGATGTCGTCTGGGTCCCTGATGATCACCACAGTTCTGCCGAAAATTTACAACATAACTACTGAAAATATTACCTATCACAGATATATCAAGCTCTGCAGAAGTAATTAGTTCATTATGAGAGGCTCGTCATCGTTTTTTGGATCGCCTTCTCTATAACCGGTCGTCTATCTATTATACTATTAAAAGGCCAATTAATAAGAATAGACTAGATATTGGACAAACCGGATACAGGGTACTCTCGTAATTGGAGGTCGTAGCAGCTCTCGAACACTGTAACGGCACGGATGTCGAATATAAGCGTGGCTGCTAAGTTTGCTTCCTCACGAGACCCGTTCCATATAAACAGTGGCTTCTCTTCCTGCCCTGTGCCTAGTCCCACCACTAATTTCTACCCAATTATTAACAAGGACAGGGAGGCGTTATTTTACACAATATTTTATCAGTTCCAATCACAGAAAACAGTTTTTTGCTGTTTGTAATGCTGGACTGGAAGTTTCCAAGAAAGTAAATTATGTTTAATGTGTATAAAGTTTATGGCATGACTATTTCATCTCTGATTGACTCGACTAGTCACGTCGGGTCCCTGATGATCACCACAGTGTCGCCTCAGGGAGACAGTAACTTAGTTCTATTTAAGCTTTAATTGAATCCAGTCTAATATAATTCTTTTAGAGTATAATTAAATTGTCAATTGGAAGAATTAAGAATTTGGGAGAAATAATAGTTACGTCGCCAATGTTGGCTGACGCAATACTCCTCTATGCTTTCCAAGGAGCTTCTAGACCTTTCCTCACTAGAAAATTAATTCACTTAGTATGGTTAGTTTTTTGACATAACGAATTTATCTTATTATATCAGAGGTTACTAATTGGGGGGTCGGATATTTCCGACATGCCCTCCGAGACTAGCATCTTCATGCCAGAACTTATAATAATAATAATAATAATAATAATAATAATAATAATAATAATAATAATAATAATATATTAAAGCTAGGGCACATAATTACATACATATATAAGAACGTGGACAGTGGAGGATTTCTAGTAAATACAAAGCTCCTCGTCAGCTGTTTTCTCGACGTCTGTGTTCGTTTGTCATTGTCTTTTAACCGTGTGCAGCCTGTGTAAGTAGAGATCCAATATTAGCTGTTTCTGAAGATGATCATTCGACCATCTTTAGTTCAGTGCAGTGATTATTTTCACTTGTTTTTCTTATATTTACATTTAAATATGATACAAAACTGTGTGTCGAATTGGTTTCAACAGTTTACGCATTCAGTTCGTTCTACTCATTTAAGACTCTTATACTGAAAGTTCTTTTTGACATCCCTGTGTTTCCGATCTAAAATTATGTCTTCTCGTTCTACTGTTCTTTAAACTGAACATGATTTCTATGTTTACTTTACGACTCCCTTAGCATTTTGAATGTCGTTATCATGTCTGTCGTATTTCTTCTTTTTCCAGTGAAATGAGGTCTATTCCCTCAGTCTTTCTTCGGGGCTCAGGAACGAGCCTTGTTACATATTTTGGACTTTTCTATTTTTTATCTTTCTTTAGGTAGGGGTTCCATACTAGAGCTGCATACTCAGTAATGTGACACAGGATGCATACAGTGCTCGGAGGGGATCTTTCTCTACCTCAATTTGGACAAAGTGGATGTTTGTAGGTGTGGCATATGCTGCCCTCGCTATTCTGCTGATGTGTGCCTCTGGTGTTAGAGGCACTCCTAACTTTTGTCCACTCCTAACTCTTTCCCTTTTTCAGATGCTGTAAGGTCCTTTCTTTCACCCTGTACTGTATTTGAGGCTTTCCTGCTTCATTTCCTAGCCATTTCTCAGACCATCTCTGGAGACTGTCTAGATCATTTTACAATGTATTGCAATCCTCCTCAGCTTTGATTTGCCTCATTAGCTTGGCATAGTCTGGAAACATGGATAAGAATCGTTTACATATACTAGGAACAGAATGGGCCCTGGTACCGACTCCTGAAGTACTCATTACATCTAACCATTATAATAGCACTTCTTCTTTTACTTTGACTCTTTGCGTTCTTCCTGTGAAGTAGTCCTTCGCTGACTTTGCTACTCTCCCCGATACACCAGCCTGTATTTCAAGTTTGCATGGGAGTCGCTTTCAGTTACAGCTCTTTGGTCCCGCCTCCCAACTGTCAATCAACTGGTGTACAGGCTCCTGAGCATATTGGGCTCAGTCATATCTACATTTGAAATTGTGTATGGAGTCAGCCTCCATCACAACATTTCTTAATGTTTTAGGACGACTGAAAAAATCTTGTTAATGTCTCGGTGGCTCATTTGGATACTCAGTTTCCATCTGTGTCTCCTTGTGCCAGTACGGCACGTTTTAAATAATCTATCTTTATGAACCTAATCAATTTCCCTGAGACTTATGTATGTGGTAATCGTGTCTCCCTTTACTCTTCTATCCTCCAGCGATGTGAGTTGCAATTCACGCAGCCTTTCCTCATAACTCATGTGTCTGGAACTAGTCTTGAGGCATACCTATGAATCTTCTCCAACTTCGTTTTATGCTTGACGAGGTATGGACTCATTGCTGGATCCGCATATTCCAGGAGTGGTCTGACATATGTGGTGTACAAGTTCGTAAATTATTTCTTGCACAATTTTCTAATGGTAGTTCTGATGTTAGCCAGCCTCGCATACGCCGCTGATATCTTTTTTATGTGGGCTTCAGAAGACAAGTTCGGCGTGATATCAACTCCTAGATCCGTGTGTGTGTTTACTCACCTAGTTGTACTGGCAGAGGTCGAGGTTCTGCTATTTGGTCCCTCCTCTCTACTGTGCATTTACTATTTGTGTTTGCAGAATCACGCTATTAGCTATTGGACCCCTCTAACCAATCTTTTTTTCTTATAATATCTACTACATATATTTCTCTCTAACACATGCACACAGACACACACACATCCCCAGGTAGCAGCCCGTAGCAGCTGTCTAACTCCCAGGTACCTATTTATTGCTAGGTGAACAGGGACCTAAAGGTGAAAGTAACTCTGCCCATTTGTTTGTGCCTCCGCCGGGAATCGTACTGGGCAAATAGGATTACGACCCCCAAGCACTCTCCACTCAGCCGCGAGGCCCATTTGTGTATGTACTCACCTATTTGTGCTTGCGGGGGTTGAGCTTTGGCTCTTTGGTCCCGCCTCTCAACTGCCAATCAACTGGTGTACAGATTCCTGAGCCTACTGGGCTCTATCATATCTACACTTGAAACTGTGTATGGAGTCTGCCTCCACCACATCACTACTTAATGCATTCCATTTGTTAACTACTCTGACACTGAAAAAATCTTTCTTATGTCTCTGTGGCTCATCTGGGACCTACGTTTCCACCTGTGTCTCCTTGTTCGTGTTCCACCAGTGCTAAAGAGTTTGTCTTTGTCCATCCTGTCAATTCCCCTGAGAATTTTGTAGGTGGTTATCATGTCTCCCCTTACTCTTCGGTTTTCCAAGGATGTGAGGTTCAGCTCCCTAAGCCTTTCCTCGTAGCTTATACCTCTCAGTTCCGGGACTAGTCTGGTGGCATACCTCTGAATCTTCTCTAACTTTGTCTTGTGTTTAACTATATATGGACTCCAGGATTGGTCTTACATAAGTGGCATATAAGATCCTGAACGATTCTTTACACAAGTTTCTAAAGGCAGTTCTTATGTTGGCCACTCTAGCCTATGCCGCTGATGATATTCTTTTGATGTTGGCCTCTGGGGACAGGTTCGGTGTGATATCAACCCCCAGATCTTTCTCACTATTTAACTCTTGCCGGATATCACCTCCCAGATGGTACCTTGTGTTCAGCCTTCTGCTCCCTTCGCCTAATTTAATTTCTTTACACTTTCCTGAGTTGAACTTATCATAACTCCCAGATCCCTTTCGCAATTCGACTTCGCAATCTCAACACCATCTAGCTCGTATCTTGTAACCCTATCATCATTACCTAACCTCAGAACTTTACATTTATCAGCATTAAACTGCATCTGCCAATCCTTCGACCATTTCAAAACCCTATCTAGATCAACTTGAAGTGATAGTGAGTCCTCCTCCGAATTAATTTCCCTACCGATTTTCGTATCATCGACAAATTTGCAAATGTTGCTACTCAAACCTGAATCTAAATCCTTTATATATATTATAAACAACAGAGGTCCCAGGACAGAGCCCTGAGGCACCCCACTTACAACATTTTCCCACTCTGACTTGACTCCATTTATACTAACTCTCTGTTTCCTTTGGTATAGCCATGCCCTAATCCAGCTTAATATAGCACCCCCAATACCATGAGACTCTAACTTTTTAATCAGTCTTTCATGTGGCACTGTATCAAAAGCTTTGCTAAAGTCAAGGTACACAACATCGCAATCCTTACCACTATCAACTGCCTCAACAATGCTAGAATAAAAAGATAACAAATTTGTTAAACATGAACGGCCATTTGTAAAACCATGTTGCGACTCAATTATTAATTTATGTTTTTCAAGATGAAGACGAATTTTATTTGCTATTATAGATTCGAGTAACTTTCCCACAATAGACGTTAGGCTAATTGGTCGATAGTTAGACGCAAGTGATCTATCTCCTTTTTTAAAAACGGGTATCACATTAGCAACTTTCCAAAACTCTGGCACTCTGCCAGACTCTATTGATTTATTAAATATGGTTGACAGTGGGTCACAAAGCTCCTCTTTGTATTCTTTAAGCACCCTGGCAAACACTTCATCCGGCCCTGGGGATTTGTTTGGTTTGAGTTTTACTATTTGTTTAAGAACATCCTCCCTGGTAACTGCTAAACTCGTCAACCTGTCCTCGTCCCCACCCACATAGACTTGTTCGGCTGAAGGCATATTGTTAAGTTCCTCTTTAGTAAATACAGATACAAAATATTTATTAAAAATACTACTCATCTCTTCATCACTATCTGTTATTTGACCTGTCTCAGTTTTTAATGGACCTATCCTTTCCCTAGTCTTAGTACGATATAACTGAAAAAAACCTTTAGGATTTGTCTTTGCTTGCCCTGCTATGCGAACTTCATAGTTTCTTTTTGCTTTCCTTATCTCTTTTTTTAACATTTCTAACCAGTTGTACGAATTCCTGTTCTAAAGTGACCTCCCCATTTTTAATCCTTTTGTACCAAGCTCTCTTTTTACCTATAAGGTTCTTCAAATTCTTTGTTATCCACTTTGGGTCATTAGTATTCGATCTATTCAATTTGTATGGTACACTACGTTCCTGTGCTTTGTTTAGAATATTCTTAAATAAGTTATATATTGAATCCACATCGATATCCCCATTTACGTCACCTATCGCTGGGTTCATGTCTCGCTCCAAGACCGGCCCCCACCCCATACCCAGGACTTTCCAATCAATTTGACCCAAAAAAATGCTAAGGCTATTAAAATCAGCTTTTCGAAAATCTGGCACTTTAACAGAATTTTCTCCTACAGGTCTATTCCATTCTATGCTAAATCTGATTTCTTTGTGATCACTGTTCCCTAGCTCACTCCCTATTTCGATGTCATTAATTTGTGTTTCCCTGTTAGTTAACACTAAATCTAAAATATATTTTCCCTTGTTGGTTCCTTAATGTGTTGCGTAAGAAAGCAATCGTCAATTAATTCTAGAAAATCTTCTGCTTCACTATTCCCTGTTTTGTTCAACCAGTTTATTCCACTAAAATTAAAGTCACCCATGACGTAAATACTGTTAGATCTAGATGCTCTAGATATTTCATCCCATAGATGCTTTGCTTCCATTCTGTCTAAATTTGGTGGCCTATATAAGAACATAAGAACATAAGAACAAAGGCAACTGCAGAAGGCCTGTTGGCCCATACGAGGCAGCTCCTATTCTATTAGTAGCCATTTTCTAGACCATTTCATCAGTTTGTTCAGTCCGTTCTGTAGTCTTTGCCTGTGAATGTGTGTGTGTACTCACCTAGTTGTGTTTGCGGGGGTTGAGCTCTGGCTCTTTGGTCCTGCCTCTCAACCGTCAATCAACAGGTGTACAGATTCCTGAGCCTATTGGGCTATATCATATCTTTACTTGAAACTGTGTATGGAGTCAGCCTCCACCACATCACTTCCTAAACCGTGTGTGTGTGTGTGTGTGTGTGTGTGTGTGTGTGTGTGTGTGTGTGTGTGTGTGTGTGTGTGTGTGTGTGTGTGTGTGTGTGTGTGTGTCCTCACCTAGTTGTACTCACCTAGTTGTGTTTGCGGGGGTTGAGCTCTGGCTCTTTGGTCCCGCCTCTCAACCGTCAATCAACAGGTGTACAGATTCATGAGCCTATCGGGCTCTGTCATATCTACACTTGAAACTGTGTATGGAGTCAGCCTCCACCACATCACTTCCTAATGCATTCCATTTGTCAACCACTCTGACACTAAAAAAGTTCTTTCTAATATCTCTGTGGCTCATTTGGGCACTCAGTTTCCACCTGTGTCCCCTTGTGCGTGTTCCCCTTGTGTTAAATAGACTGTCTTTATCTACCCTATCAATTCCCTTCAGAATCTTGAATGTGGTGATCATGTCCCCCTAACTCTTCTGTCTTCCAGCGAAGTGAGGTTTAATTCCCGGAGTCTCTCCTCGTAGCTCATACCTCTCAGCTCGGGTACTAGTCTGGTGGCAAACCTTTGAACCTTTTCCAGTTTAGTCTTATCCTTGACTAGATATGGACTCCATGCTGGGGCTGCATACTCCAGGATTGGCCTGACATATGTGGTATACAAAGTTCTGAATGATTCTTTACACAAGTTTCTGAATGCCGTTCGTATGTTGGCCAGCCTGGCATATGCCGCTGATGTTATCCGCTTGATATGTGCTGCAGGAGACAGGTCTGGCGTGATATCAACCCCCAAGTCTTTTTCCTTCTCTGACTCCTGAAGAATTTCCTCTCCCAGATGATACCTTGTATCTGGCCTCCTGCTCCCTACACCTATCTTCATTACATTACATTTGGTTGGGTTAAACTCTAACAACCATTTGTTCGACCATTCCTTCAGCTTGTCTAGGTCTTCTTGAAGCCTCAAACAGTCCTCTTCTGTTTTAATCCTTCTCATAATTTTAGCATCGTCCGCAAACATTGAGAGAAATGAATCGATACCCTCCGGGAGATCATTTACATATATCAGAAACAAGATAGGACCGAGTACAGAGCCCTGTGGGACTCCACTGGTGACTTCACGCATGTGTGTGTGTGTGTGTGTGTGTGTGTGCAGTGAATTATATTCTGGTTGTCTATCCATGGCCCTAACAGGTGTCGAAGCACAGGTGTGAGAGTCGTGAGGTGTGTTCTGCCAGCTACGCCATCAAGTGGGACACTCAGGAGTGCGTGGAGCGCTGCCCGACCGGCTACAACCAGACCATCCTCTCTTGGGAGCCTCGCACCGTTACCCAGTGTATTCCCTGCAAAGGTAATCTGCCTACCTATCCAAACACAGCGTTACCCATGGTGTCACACACATAGCTAAGCTGCCCTCTGACCCAAACACAACCTGGCCCAGTATGTCACAGGCAAGGATAAGTTTCCTTGCCTGTGACATACTGAATATTATGTGACACAGAATAATGTCATAATGTGACATATGATTGCATATTATATGTTGATTATTTTCTTGCTTATGGATTTGTATCGATATGTATTTTATCGATACCCTCTGATTTGTGCTCTTGCGTCTTGGTTTAATTGGAGGAAGATTTCTCCAAATATCATCTTTGTTTTAGGTAAACTAAAATAATAATTAACTGTTAAATATATTACACCTATTATAAATTTATAAAACGTTTCGAACCTACATGGTTCATTCTCATGTGATGGGACTTTAAGACGGTGTATTGGATTGATTCCATTAGGGGGATCAGATACATACAAATACAAATAGGTGAAGAGTAAGACATAACGGGGTGAGGAATAACGCATAAACGGTGAAGAATAAAGCAAAAAAAAAAAAGGGAGGAAGCACATACAAAGATTAATCAGGTGCAGTGGGCGTGGCAGTGTGAGCAGTGTCGTCAACATTGGCAACTTCACGTTCTTGTCATGGTCTTACTCTTATGGTGAGTAGAGTGAATAGTGAATAATAACGGAATATTCAATTTTATTCTCACCATGAGAGTAAGAACAGGACCGAAGCGTAAAGTTGCCAACGTTAACGACACTGCTCACACCGCCACACCCACTATATCTGATTAATCTTTGTATGTGCTTCCTCCCTTTTTTTCTTTATTCTTCACCCCTAATACGTTATACTTCACCCCGTTATGCCCTACTCTTCTCCTATTTGTATGTACTTCAATAAGGATGATGACAAGACCACACACTAGAAGGTGAAGGGACGACGACGTTTCGGTCCGTCCTGGACCATTCTCAAGTCGATTCTCAAGACACTTGACTTGAGAATGGCCCAGGACGGACCGAAACGTCGTCGTCCCTTCAACTTATGAAAGGTGCTGGAATATTGGCTTTAAGCTATCACCTCTCTTAGTACACGTACGCCAAAGCTTACGTCTAGCAGGGAGAAGTGTTAACTGTGTGAAAGCACGGAATATTCTGAGGACTGAGGTCGTGACGGCCCCAGACATCAAGTAGTATGGGGGGGGAGGGAGTGCAGTTGCAGCCCGACCGGCGACCAATCAGAGGAGCCGGCAGCAAGACAGGTAGTTTGGCGGTTTGAGTCTGAGCAGGTGTTCTTGGCTGCATACGTTTTGCGCTCTGGCAAACCTTGCTGGTGGTGTTGTCATTGTTGGACATTTCTTCATAGTAGTTATATATATTTGTTGCGACGTATTTATGGAGGGAAGAGCAGGCTCAATCTCTTGAAGGAGATTATTGTCACAACTCTCCCCCGAAGCCTGCGGTTCTGGAAGAAGTACGTCGTTATGTGGTGGAGTAATGGATGGAGTCGCTTCTACTTCATAAACTCTGGAGAGGGCATCGGCTATGGTGTTGTCAGAACCCTAGATATAGCGGATCTCCAGGTTGAAATCTTGTAAATACAGAGCCCATCGTAGAAGACGCTGGTTGGTGAATTGGGCTTGATGTAGGAAGCGGAGAGGGTTGTGGTCTGAGAAGATGGTGGTAGACCTGGCGCCTTGTAGGTACGGAGCGAAGTGTTGGAGGTTCAGGACGATGGATAGTAGCTCCTTTTCAATAGTGCTGTAGTTCCTCTGGTGTGGTTTCAGTTTGTAGCTGTAGTAGCTGACAGGTAGAACCTCCTCGCCTCGTTGTTGCATCAGGACACCACCAACGCCGGTACCACTGGCGTCGACATGAAGGACGAAAGGCTTGGTGATATCTGGAGAGGCGAGAATGGGGTTAGAACAGAGGAGGAATTTGAGTTGTTCGAAAGCAACGGTTTGCTGCATGGTCCAATTATACCGGTTGCTTGGGACTGGTTTAATAGAATTAAAGGTGTGGCGACTGTACTGAAATTCCTCACAAACCTACGGTAGTAGGAGGCAAGACCAAGGAAGCGCAGGAGCTGCTTCCTGGTGGTAGGCTGTGGGGATACTGTTGGGTGGCTTGAGTGTGTGAGTCTAACGGAGCTATGCTGCCACTCCCAATAACATGACCCAGATAACGCACTTTACCTTTCGCGAAAGTGGACTTGCCCAGGTTGATGGTGAGGCCGGCTGTCAGGAGCTTGGAGAACAGACGTCGCAGCTGGAGCAGATGTTCACTCCAGGTGTTGGAGGCTACGACGATATCGTCCAGGTAGGCGTATGTGTTATCCAAGCCCTGGATGACACGGTTGACAGCTCTCTGAAAGGTGGCCGGGCATTACATAGTCCGAAAGGAAGGCGTTTTCATATCTGAAAAGTCCAAAAGGAGTGATGAAGGCAGATATCTCTTTAGCTCGCTCCGTTAGACACACTTGATAGTACCCCTTAAGCAAGTCCACTTGGGACAAGTACTGGGCACTACCAATGGCATCAAGGATGTCATCTATCCTTGGCAAGGGGTAAGCATCCTTGACAGTTACATTGTTCAGTTTACGATAGTCGGTACATAACCGCACCTTGACCTTGGGTTTGGGCACCAAGATACAAGGTGAGGCCAGGGGGACTCACAAGGTGTAGCCAGTCCATGATCCAAGAGGTACTGCACCTCAGCACGCATGACTTCCTTCTTGCTCGGGCTGATTCGGTAGAAGGGTTGACGAATCGGCCGGGTGTCGGGGAGCAGTTGGATGTCGTGCTGGGTAACATTACACTCTTGGGGGTCATCTCGGAACAACTCTTGATGTTCTCTGAAGATCTTGACGAGAGGTGCACTATGATTATCCTGAAAGTATTTGGGAAGATCATTAGGATTTCGGAATTAGAAAGCGCTGACTCCTTGTCAGTGCTTTCGGGAGGAGAAGCTGGGAAGGTCTCACTGTGGATGTAGGGTTCTGTGAAGGTGGAATAGTTAATTAGGACAGTGGGAGGAGTACCATTATATTGCTTCAGGAGGTTGACGTGGCACAGCTGGGTCTTCCGCCGCCTATCTGGAGTCTCTATTACGTAGTTGTTATTATTCCTGCACTCTTTGACGCGGTAGGGTCCTGAAAACCTGTTTTTGTAAAGGTGAACCTGGGATAGGGAATTATGCAAGGACGAAGTCTCCCGGCTTGAATTTTCTTACTTTGCTGGTCTGGTCGTAATGAGTCTTCATTCTCTCCTGGGCTTTCAATAGATTATCATGGGCAAAACGGTGGACTCTCTCTAGAATGTGTTGAAGGTTTTGAAGAAACTGGGGCACATTCTGATGCTCACTGAAGGTGGCATCTCTGAGAGAGTCTTTGAAAGCCTTAAGGGGAGTACGGCACTTACGGCCGTAGAGCATCTCATAAGGAGATACTCCTAGGGACTCATTGGGGAGACTTCCGTAAATACACATTATAAGGTCAATCTGCTTATCCCAATCCTTAGAGGTTTCACTACAAAACTTTTTCAAGAGTGCTTTGATTGTCTGATGACTACGTTCAAGAGAACCCTGTGAAGCAGGATGATAGGGGCTGGACAATACCTGTTTGATGTTGAACTCCTCCAGTGTCCTTTTGAAGAGATCACTGGTGAAGTTGGTACCACAGTCGCTCTGAATCTCCCTGGGAAATCCGTATTGAGTGAAGATCTTCAATAGATGTTTTATAACCGTAGCAGCCGTGATGTTCTTCACTGGAACTGCTATGGGAAATCTGGTGGTAAGACACAGGATGGTTAGGATGTAGGCGTTACCTGAACTGGTCCGAGGTAAAGGACCGACACAGTCTATTATGAGTCTGTGGAAAGGTTCCGCAGGCACCTGTATGGGAATCAGTGGCGCTCTGGGAATGGAGATTTTCGGTTTGCCTGCCATCTGACATGTATGACACTGTTTTACGTACTGTTTGACGTTATTTACCATACCTGGCCAGTAGTAGTCTTGACGAATTCCATGGTAAGTCTTGTTGAAGCCGTAGTGGGAGAGCGCTCCGTGGGCCAGGTGTAGAATAGTGGGCCGCAGGCTGGTAGGAATCACAAGTTGGTCGATGTTGGCCCAATCGTCCTCCTCCTTCAGTTTACTGGGTCTATATCTGCGGTAGAGCAAGTCGTTCTCTAGGAAGAACCCAGGATACTGTCGGGTTGAGTCTCAGCCTGGAAAAACAATGGTGTTAAAGTAAGATCTTCCCTCTGCAACTTACGGAACTCCAACTTGGTCAGATGCGGGGGGAGTTTCTGAGGGTCTTGAGGGACAGCGGTAGCAGTAGAGTCAGCTGGCTGTGGACGTGCGGCTTGTGCACGGGTGGTCACGAGAACCGGAGGAGAAACTTCATCACTCTCTTGAACCTCTGCTGGAACATACTCTAGAATAGGGTTACTTGGCACAGAGTTACACACCTGGGGTTTGTCCATGACGATCAGGTTGGTCGGTTGCAGGTCTTCTGCCAAGTCGTTGCCTAGGAGAAGTTGCACTCCAGGCATGGGAAAAGGCTTTTCCCTGACGGCGACTTGGACTTTCCCGTTCACGTAGGGACAATCCAGGTGGACTCTGGCGAGAGGGTATGGAGTGGTAGCAGTGAGGTCAGTGATGAAGACAGTTTCTCCGGTGTAGGTGATGTTGGGCACAGCCGACTTCAAGATGATCGATTGAAGAGCTGCTGTGTCCCTCAAGATCTTCAATTTGAAAACGTCCCTCCGGATTTGAACCGTTGGCAGAAGACAGTTCCAGTATACAGATGGTTACTGAAAGAGAAAGATCATTAACATTAACACCAACATTCATCACAGGCTTACCGGACTTAGGAGGAGTTGGTTTGGGTTTTTGTTGGTCAGTGGTTCCCTGGTACTTACCACACTTGTCTATGGTATGTCCATAGAGTCTACAATACTTGCAGTACAGTTGTGAACCAGCTTGATCGGGGCTCACTTTCTCGTAACTGTACCACGACTTCTTACTGGAGGATGGTTCGGGTGTCAGCCGGTGGATGAGGCTGTAAGTGTCAGCCGACTTAGCACACTTTAGGTAGTCGGTTTCTTCTTTATCTGCTAAGTAGAGGCGGGCAGGAGGCGGCACACGTCTCAAGAATTCTTCAACAAGCATCAGGTTGACGAGTTCTGTAAAAGTAGAGACATGTGCTGCTTCCAGCCATTTCATGAAATATCTCCGTTTCGTGTTAGCAAACTCAAGGAAGGTAGTGGTACTTGCCTTCAGGTGGTCACGGAATTTCCTTCTATAACTTTCAGTAGAGAGGAGGTAGGCGTCCAACACTGCTTGTTTCAGAGTGTGGTAGTCATTCTCAGACGCCAAAGTACTGAGTGTGACTGCAGCTCTACCTGTAAGATGGACTCTGAGAAGTGTGGCCCATTGGTCGACAGGCCAACTGAGTTGATTAGCAAGGGTTTCAAAGGTGGTAAAGAACACATCAACTTCTGCTTCTACAAAGGATGGCATTAACTTACTTGCATGTGATATATTAAAACTGACGGGAAGATTGGCAGTAGCTTGCTGGCGTTGAGTGAAGTGTGAAGTTTCCAAGGCGATTTCGCGTTGACGACACTCTAGAGCCAGAGTCGCTTGTTGCTTGTCATGTTCGCGTTGCATCTCCAACTCGCGTTGTTTGGTTTCAAGCCGTACGCGTTCCCGCTCCTGGAGTAAGGCAATCTCACGTTCTTGTTCTTCCCTTCGTATGGCAGCTGCTTCCCTTTGCTGCTCACATTCAATCTTGGCCAGCTCTAGTTTGAGTTTCATCGTTGCCAAATCAGTTTTATCTGCAATATAGTAAGTTTCATGAGTTTCAGAGTCTATCTTACCTTGCTCTAAATAGTAATCCAGCAACAGGTGTGTAGGTCATTTTTGTTGGCTTGGTAGGGAACTTCTAGTTGATACTCATGTGCAAGAGTTTGTAATTCAGTCCTCTTGGCACGACTTAAAGTCCCTATTTCACCTGCTGGATTTGCACGGAAAGCTTGGAGACGAAACATGGTGAAATTAGCAAATAAAGGTACACGAATATTCAATAGTGAATGTCAGAAACAGGACAACGTGGCAACTGGTACCTATCCTGTGAGATCTTTAACAATTAAAGTTAAGTAAAAGATGTTAAATGATTAAATTAAATCAAGGGCGCAGGAAATCTTGTACCCGGTACTCATGTAAGAGGATAAGGGCAAGAAAATCCTACTAACAAATGAAACAGAGTTTTGAAAACAATGAAACAGTTAAATGCCTCAAAAGTAAAATTGGTAGTCCAAGGATGTAGGCATACCTTGCCAAGTCTCTATAGGACATAAAGCAAGTTTTTCCTACTGAATTTAATATGATACTTACAGAATTAGCGAACTTTTGTGCTCTGAAAAAGTAAGCTAATTCCCTACCGTTTATGTATCATCATCTCTGACTGACGTGTAGGGGTGCGAGGTGTCAACTGGTGACGAGAACCTACCCTATCAATTCCCTTCAGAATCTTGAATGTGGTGATCATGTCCCCCCTAACTCTTCTGTCTTCCAGCGAAGTGAGGTTTAATTCCCGTAGTCTCTCCTAGTAGCTCATACCTCTCAGCTCGGGTACTAGTCTGGTGGCAAACCTTTGAACCTTTTCCAGTTTAGTCTTATCCTAGACTAGATATGGACTCCATGCTAGGGCTGCATACTCCAGGATTGGCCTGAGATATGTGGTATACAAAGTTCTGAATGATTCTTTACACAAGTTTCTGAATGCCGTTCGTATGTTGGCCAACCTGGCATATGCCGCTGATGTTATCCGCTTGATATGTGCTGCAGGAGACAGGTCTGGCGTGATATCAACCCCCAAGTCGTTTTCCTTTTCTGACTCCTGAAGAATTTCCTCTCCCAGATGATACCTTGTATCTGGCCTCCTGCTCCCTACACCTATCTTCATTACATTACATTTGGTTGGGTTAAACTCTAACAACCATTTGTTCGACCATTCCTTCAGCTTGTCTAGGTCTTCTTGAAGCCTCAAACAGTCCTCTTCTGTTTTAATCCTTCTCATAATTTTAGCATCGTCCGCAAACATTGAGAGAAATGAATCGATACCCTCCGGGAGATCATTTACATATATCAGAAACAAGATAGGACCGAGTACAGAGCCCTGTGGGACTCCACTGGTGACTTCACGCCAATCGGAGGTCTCACCCCTCACCGTAACTCTCTGCTTCCTATTGCTTAGATACTCCCTTATCCACTGGAGCACCTTACCAGTTACACCTGCCTGTCTCTCCAGCTTATGTACCAGCCTCTTATGCGGTACTGTGTCAAAGGCTTTCCGACAATCCAAGAAAATACAGTCCGCCCAGCCCTGTGGTGTGTGTGTGTGTGTGTGTGTGTGTGTGTGTGTGTGTGTGTGTGTGTGTGTGTGTGTGTACTCACCTAGTTGTACTCACCTAGTTGTGCTTGCGGGGGTTGAGCTCTGGCTCTTTGGTCCCGCCTCTCAACCGTCAATCAACAGGTTGTGTGTGTGTGTGTGTGTGTGTTTGCATGTGTGTATAATATCTAAAAATAAATAATTAATCTTTCCCACTCTAGTAAGGAAGTAATACTTTCTTTACACTTAGAACAATTTTGTAATAGGTAACCTAGTTTTCCTTTCCTGATGCAGGGTTGGTGTGTGAGAAGCACTGTCCAGCTGTCACTGTCAAGAGCATTAGTCACGCTCAGACCCTGAGGGGATGCACCATCATCGACGGCTACCTCACCATCTACATTAATGGTGGAGGTAAGTGTGATCTTCCTGCTATCCATCAGCGGTACAGGCTGGTGTGTTTCCCAATTTCACCATCAACATCTAAGGCAAGTATATCATATCATCTTTCTCGCCACCTCCACGACAACACCACCACTACCAGCCACCTCCACGACAACACCACCACTACCAGCCACCTCCACGACAACACCACCACTACCAGCCACCTCCACGACAACACCACCTCTACCAGCCACCTCCACGACAACATCACCACTACCAGCCACCTCCACGACAACATCACCACTACCAGCCACCTCCACGACAACATCACCACTACCAGCCACCTCCACGACAACACCACCACTACCAGCCACCTCCACGACAACATCACCACTACCAGCCACCTCCACGACAACACCACCACTACCAGCCACCTCCACGACAACATCACCACTACCAGCCACCTCCACGACAACATCACCACTACCAGCCACCTCCACGACAACACCACCACTACCAGCCACCTCCACGACAACATCACCACTACCAGCCACCTCCACGACAACACCACCACTACCAGCCACCTCCACGACAACATCACCACTACCAGCCACCTCCACGACAACATCACCACTACCAGCCACCTCCACGACAACATCACCACTACCAGCCACCTCCACGACAACACCACCACTACCAGCCACCTCCACGACAACACCACCACTACCAGCCACCTCCACGACAACATCACCACTACCAGCCACCTCCACGACAACATCACCACTACCAGCCACCTCCACGACAACATCACCACTACCAGCCACCTCCACGACAACACCACCACTACCAGCCACCTCCACGAAAACACCACCACTACCAGCCACCTCCACGACAACATCACCACTACCAGCCACCTCCACGACAACACCACCACTACCAGCCACCTCCACGACAACACCACCACTACCAGCCACCTCCACGACAACACCACCACTACCAGCCACCTCCACGACAACATCACCACTACCAGCCACCTCCACGACAACACCACCACTACCAGCCACCTCCACGACAACATCACCACTACCAGCCACCTCCACGACAACACCACCACTACCAGCCACCTCCACGACAACATCACCACTACCAGCCACCTCCACGACAACATCACCACTACCAGCCACCTCCACGACAACACCACCACTACCAGCCACCTCCACGACAACATCACCACTACCAGCCACCTCCACGACAACATCACCACTACCAGCCACCTCCACGACAACACCACCACTACCAGCCACCTCCACGGACGAGTGAGGAAAGACGAGTTAGGAAGGGGTCAGGGGGGATAGGACGTGGGGGTGGGGGGGGAGTTGGAGGACGGGAGGGGGAGGACGTGGGAGGAATGATTGGGAGAAGGACGAGTGGGGAAAGACGTAGAGTGAAGGACGTAAGGTGAAGGACGTAGGGGGGGGGAGGGATGGGGGAGAGATGGGGGTTGAAGGGCGTGGGGTGCAAGGACGAGGGAAGAAAGGACGTGGGGGTTGGGAAGGCTGTGGGGGGGGGGAGACGAGGGGGGATGGGTGAGGGGGGGAAAGGACGAGGGGGGAAGATATTGGGGAGGAAATAATGATGGGGGGAAAAACATTGCGGGGGGGGGAAATAATAAGGGGGGAAGGACGTGGGGGTGGAAAGACGAGAAGGGGAAGGAACTGAGGGTGGAAGGAAAAAGTGGGGAAGAACATGGGGGAAAGGCGAGGAGGGGTGGTGAAGGACGAGAAGGGAAAGAACAGGGGGGGGGGAGGACGAGGGGAGAAGGAGGAAAGGTGACACAGAATGAATTGATTTTTATAGCAACTGGGCAGTGTCGTCCCGACTAGACCCCCCTTCCCCTGGGCTGAGGAGTGAAAATGTTTTCACTGGGGTCCACATGTGCTAAACAAGTTGTGCCTAAGGGATTTGTTGTGTTTCAACGTGTTTTTAACACGTTGAATGTGTGTTTGGGTTATAATACGCTGGTATTTGAAGTAAAAATGGGAATAAAGTGTAGGATGGAAGAAGCATAACTGAACAGCATAGGATGTCTTTTACAATGAGCTTCATTTTCCGCAATGGTCTGTGATTGCTCAAAGGTAGTACATTGACATTGATCAATCCGGTAGCTAGGCATGAAGGTCTCAAGGGGTTCACTGTATGTCTCGTGGAATCACATGACTAGTACGTCATAGATAGGGGGCTCCCTACCAATGTAGAGCCCATTGGGGTCAAGTATACTGCTTTTTTGGGGCGCGGGGGGATCAAGAATACCACTAAGAACAGTGGGATATATGGGTATAGTAAGCCTTATCTTGAGTGTACATGATGCTGTTGTGTTCTTAGACATGGTAGGCAAACCATAGAACAGGGCCTGCATGTGGAGGTTGGATATTTGGGGTTTAAAACAGGTCTAAATAGCTTCGGAGTCCTTGTTTTTTTGATGGAGGATGAATGTACCATCGATATTTAATCGATATACCATCGATATATAATTACTCATTATTGCTATCTAAGATAATTAGACGAGCCAAAACTAAATACTACGAAGATAAATTTACCCAAATAAAGAGCAACATTAAACAAACTTGGAGAACAATTTCACAAATATTGGGATCAAAGAAGTCTATAATTAACAAACCAACACTCCTGTCTAATAACGATGGTCAGCTTTCAGCCTCGGATTCTGCTATTGAGTTCAATAGGTTCTTCTCTTCCATTGGTTCATCCCTTGCTAATGATATTCCATCTTCCAGTACTGACAATAAGGACTATCTTACAGGTAACTATCCACAGTCTCTGTACCTAAAGCCTATTAATTCCACTGACGTCAATGAGATAATCCTTTCCCTTAAAACCAAGTCTGGTGCCCTTGAGGAGATACCAACTTTAATCTACAAAAAAGCCTCCAGATCTTTAGCCCCTGCTATTGCTTTGCTCTTCAACAAGTCACTTGAACTCCAAACCTTTCCAGATATTCTAAAAAAAGCGAGAGTAACGCCTGTCCACAAATGTGGTGATCTCACAGATGTTAACAACTACAGATCTATATCAATCCTGCCAAACTTGTCAAAAATTTTTGAAAAACTAATCTATAAGCAGCTTTACTCATATCTAGCCAAACTCAATATACTTAGCCCTTGCCAATATGGCTTCAGGCCCAAAAAAGCACTAACGATGCACTTATTAGTATGCTTAACTCGATTCATACAGCTCTTGATCAAAATGAGTTCCCTGTTGGGTTATTTGTGGACCTGCGTAAAGCTTTCGATACTGTCAACCACCAAAACCTTCTTCTTAAATTACATCATTATGGTGTCAGAGGACACTCCCTACAATACCTCAAATCCTACCTTACTGACAGGCTCCAATGTGTTTCTGTGAATAATACAATTTCTCCCACACTACCCATCAACATTGGTGTTCCCCAGGGCAGCATACTTGGCCCTCTCCTCCTTCTCATCTACATTAATGACCTTCCAAATGCCTCCCAACACCTCAAACCAATTCTATTTGCTGATGACACAACCTTCATTTACTCCAGTCCTGATCCCCTTGCTCTAAATGCCACAGTAAATACTGAGCTTAATAAAGTCCATCTGTGGCTAACTGCCAACAAACTCACCCTTAACATTGACAAAACTTTCTATATTCTGTTTGGCAATAAATCCTCTAATCAAATAAATCTCAAAATAAACAATACCCAAATTTGTAACAAATTAGATGGCAAATTCCTTGGCATTCTCATTGACCACAAGCTGAATTTCCAGGGACACATTCTAAACATATCAAAAAAAGTTTCAAAAACTGTGGGCATTCTTTCTAAGATCAGATATTATGTACCACGCCCTGCCCTGGTGACTCTCTATTACTCCCTTATCTATCCATATCTCAACTATGGTATTTGTGCTTGGGGCTCTACTACCCAAAATCACTTACGTCCTCTAATTACTCAACACAAAGCTGCTATTAGGACAATATCCAATTCTGGCCCCAGACATCACTCGGTACCCCTACTCAAATCTCTGAATATGTTAGACATTAAGTCACTGCACATTCTCTCATGTGTATTATACATATATAAAACGGTAAACTATAATGCCAATCCTGATCTCAAAAGCTTCATAGAAGGTTGTAACAGAACCCATGAGCACCACACCAGAAATAAATACAGTTTTGATATTCCTAGAGTACGACTAAATCAAACCAGAAATGCTCTACAAATCAAGGGGCCCAGAATGTGGAATGACCTTCCCAACCATGTTAAAGACTGTACCTCTCTCAACCAGTTTAAGTTAAAAACGAAGCTATACCTAATAAATTCCATGTAACCCACCTTACCCCCCTGTTGTCAACCCATGTATATTTTTTGTTTTTTTGTTTTTCAAATCAACGCTGTTTGAATGTAATTTTCTGTAATAATTTGCATATTGCATAATAATAATGTTCCCCCCTCTTTTACCTCTATTTTTTATATGTACTCATCACATCTTTTCTTTTTACCCATTAGTTTTAAGCTGTAGTCATTAATGTTTTTCCTGCCCGAAACGCTTTGCGTAATAGTGGCTTTAGGCATTGTATGTACTAGCTCTATCTATAAAGCCAACAAACTTTGTAAATCTCTTCATGTATGTACCTTACCTAAATAAAGATTATTATTATTATTATTATTATTATTATTATTTCTTGTGAATATAATCTGAATCAGGGGCCTCAGTTTACTTTCTATTACTAAAAGGATTTCTTTGGAGTATTTTCCAGGGAAATGAGCTTACAGTACTCTGTATAACTTAAATGAGCGCATGAAGAACAATTTTATACGCGAGGGTATGCAGCTTGAAACTGTTTATCCCAAGCTCCCCATAGCTTCTTCATTTTCTGTAACTAAAGTAAAGATTCCATTTTCTGTGGAAACTTTGTAATTGTTAATAATGGTCTATATGAACCATTAATCATTCAACCATAGAATGTTTATCATTCCTCAAGCTAAGATC